ACCCACATCCACTCATGTATTTATCCAACCTATTTTTAAAGCTACACAACGTTCTGGCCTCTATAACTGTACTTGGGAGTTTGTTCCACTCATCCACAACTCTATTACCAAACCAGTACTTTCCTATATCCTTCCTGAATCTGAATTTTTCCAACTTAAAACCATTGCTGCGAGTCCTGTCTAGGCTAGATATTTTCAGCACACTATTTACATCCCCTTTATTTATTCCTGTCTTCCATTTATACACCTCAATCATATCAACCCTAATTCTACGTCTTTCTAGAGAGTGCAGATTCAGGGCCCTTAGTCTATCATTATAGGGAAGGTTTCTGATACATGGGATCAACTTTGTCATCCTCCTTTGTACGTTTTCCAGAGCATTTATATCCATTCTGTAATACGGTGACCAAAACTGTGCAGCATAATCTAAATGAGGCCTAACCAGAATTATACCGAGAGGTGTTACGTTCACCAGAATTATACCGAGAGGTGTTACCTGCACCAGAATTATACCGAGAGGTGTTACGTGCACCAGAATTATACCGAGAGGTGTTACCTGCACCAGAATTATACCGAGAGGTGTTACGTGCACCAGAATTATACCGAGAGGTGTTACGTGCACCAGAATTATACCGAGAGGTGTTACGTGCACCAGAATTATACCGAGAGGTGTTACCTGCACCAGAATTATACCGAGAGGTATACATCTATATATACCGAAAGGTCTACCTACTTACCTGGAGTCTTCCTGGAGGGTATTCCGGGGATCAACGCCCCCGGGGCCAGGTACATGACCAGGCCTCCCGGTGGATCAGGGTCTGATCAACGAGGCTGTTACTTCTGGCCGCTCGCAATCCAACGTACGAACCACAGCCCGGCTGATCCGCCACCGGCTTTAAGTACGTGTCCAGGGATGGAACAGTACAACAAATTTTGCCGATAGTTGATACCCAGTTGTCGGCCGATACCTGGAGAGGCCCGGTCTGTTACCGCACCGATAAGTTCCTATAATTATTTTTGTTATTATAATGTTTATGTTCCATATATAAGGGAATGCTTATTGTGTTATATGTATTAAATAACACGAGAAGAGTAAATATTAAATAACTTATCTGAGATGATAATGATGTTATTTGGCCTATTGTGTTAGTTACTGCTTGTTAAAGGTACTTGTCGATAGCCCGCGCGTGTGTGGACTCGCCTGTTTGTGGTTCCAAGGGTTGATTGACAGCTCCTGGCCCCGCCTTTTCGCTGGTCGCTACTAGTTTGTGTGTGTGTGTGTGTGTGTGTGTGTGTGTGTGTGTGTGTGTGTGTGTGCTCACCTAGTTGTACTCACCTAGTTGAAGTTGCAGGGGTCGAGTCCTAGCTCCTGGCCTCGCCTCTTCACTGGTCGCTACTAGGTCACTCTCCTTGAACCATGAGCTTTATCGTACCTCTGCTTAAAGCTATGTATGGATCCTGCCTCCACTACATCGCTTCCCAAACTATTCCACTTCCTGACTACTCTGTGGCTGAAGAAATACTTCCTAACATCCCTGTGATTCATCTGTGTCTTCAACTTCCAACTGTGTCCCCTTGTTGCTGTGTCCAATCTCTGGAACATCCTGTCTTTGTCCACCTTGTCAATTCCTCTCAGTATTTTGTATGTCGTTATCAGGTCTTCCCTATCTCTCCTGTCCTCCAGTGTCGTCAGGTTGATTTCCCTTAACCTCTCCTCGTAGGACATACCTCTTAGCTCTGGGACTAGTCTTGTTGCAAACCTTTGCACTTTCTCTAGTTTCTTTACGTGCTTGGCTAGGTGTGGGTTCCAAACTGGTGCCGCATACTCCAATATGGGCCTAACGTATACGGTGTACAGGGTCCTGAATGATTCCTTATTAAGATGTCGGAATGCTCTGGTAGTAGTGGTGGTGAGTGATCCTCTGGTAGTAGTGGTGGTGAGTAATCCTCTGGTAGTAGTGGTGGTGAGTGATCCTCTGGTAGTAGTGGTGGTGAGTAATCCTCTGGTAGTAGTGGTGGTGAGTGATCCTCTGGTAGCAGTGGTGGTGAGTAATCCTCTGGTAGTAGTGGTGGTGAGTAATCCTCTGGTAGTAGTGGTGGTGAGTAATCCTCTGGTAGTAGTGGTGGTGAGTAATCCTCTGGTAGTAGTGGTGGTGAGTAATCCTCTGGTAGTAGTGGTGGTGAGTAATCCTCTGGTAGTAGTGGTGGTGAGTGATCCTCTGGTAGTAGTGGTGGTGAGTGATCCTCTGGTAGTAGTGGTGGTGAGTAATCCTCTGGTAGTAGTGGTGGTGAGTGATCCTCTGGTAGTAGTGGTGGTGAGTAATCCTCTGGTAGTAGTGGTGGTGAGTGATCCTCTGGTAGTAGTGGTGGTGAGTAATCCTCTGGTAGTAGTGGTGGTGAGTAATCCTCTGGTAGTAGTGGTGGTGAGTAATCCTCTGGTAGTAGTGGTGGTGAGTGATCCTCTGGTAGTAGTGGTGGTGAGTGATCCTCTGGTAGTAGTGGTGGTGAGTAATCCTCTGGTAGTAGTGGTGGTGAGTAATCCTCTGGTAGTAGTGGTGGTGAGTAATCCTCTGGTAGTAGTGGTGGTGAGTAATCCTCTGGTAGTAGTGGTGGTGAGTAATCCTCTGGTAGTAGTGGTGGTGAGTGATCCTCTGGTAGTAGTGGTGGTGAGTAATCCTCTGGTAGTAGTGGTGGTGAGTAATCCTCTGGTAGTAGTGGTGGTGAGTAATCCTCTGGTAGTAGTGGTGGTGAGTAATCCTCTGGTAGTAGTGGTGGTGAGTGATCCTCTGGTAGTAGTGGTGGTGAGTAATCCTCTGGTAGTAGTGGTGGTGAGTAATCCTCTGGTAGTAGTGGTGGTGAGTAATCCTCTGGTAGTAGTGGTGGTGAGTAATCCTCTGGTAGTAGTGGTGGTGAGTAATCCTCTGGTAGCAGTGGTGGTGAGTAATCCTCTGGTAGTAGTGGTGGTGAGTGATCCTCTGGTAGTAGTGGTGGTGAGTGATTCACTATACAAACCTTCCAAGTGATGGTGGAACTGGAGAGAAGTTGGAGTGGATTTGGGAATTAATTTTTCAGCAGTGGTGGGAGGCTGTCTCTTGATGTCTCAATACAGAGGTTACTACTGCCTTGACAAAGGGAGACAAGAGCTGCAGTTAACCTCGTATTTGTTACCTAACAAGATAAATGTATATTTGATCAGTTGGAAAACTGAAAATTACCGATAATCAGTTTGGGTATTTTTACGGCCAACTTTTAGGATGTTAGGTAAGACACATATGCAACAGTTAGGTATCTTTATTTCGAAATAAAGATACCTAACTGTTGCATATGTGTCTTACCTAACAACCTGTCGGTATTTTATACCATTTTATTGTTCAACTTTTAGGATACAGAAATTACGATACGTACCTGGTCAGGCGGGCTGTGGTTCGTACGACGGTTTACGTGCTGCCAGCAGTAGCAGCCTGATTGATCAGGTTATGATCCACCATGAAATCTGGTCATGGACCGGGCCGCGGGGGCGTTGACCCCTAAACCTCTCCACGTATACATTAAAGTTTGTCAAAACTGGTAAGCGAAACATAGCCCATAATTAGTATCCTAAACGTTTCACGTATCCATTTACCTAATTAGGTACATATCGTATATACACAGGTGTATATCTTAATTTATATTCACTTCAGAGATTAATCAATAATTAAGGGATAAAAATATTGATAATAGTGAGCATGTGAAATTCGTCCTGAATGACCCTGGTACAGTAGATAGGCTTTAAGCCTAACACAGGAACCAGCCATACATAGCACAAATTATTCTCTCTCCTTACACGAGGCTCTGACATGCTCAAGATTTCCAACACTCAAGATTAGTCAAAACTTTGCTATGACACAAGTTTTAGAAAAAAAAGTTAGCCTAATGCAGTATAATGCCATCGTTTATTGACGACGTTTCGCCCACACAGTTGGCTTTATCAAGTTACAAACAGATCTGGTATAAACCTTGGTAATAAATACCGACAAGTTGGTTTAGAAAGACACGTAAGCAAACACTATAACATATTTATTAGAAAACGTTTCGGTCCTGGGACCTTGATCACTTCTAAGTGATCAAGGTCCCAGGACCGAAAAGTTTTCTAATAAATATGTTATAGTGTTTGCTTACGTGTCTTTCTAAACCAACAAACAGATCTGTTTGTGACTTGATAAAACCCACTGTGTGGGCGAAACGTTGTCAATAAAGGATCACATTATACTGCATGTGTTTATTTTCCATTGTGTCGGTATTTTATACCTTTTATTTCCAGAACAAGCTTTTGTTGTACCAACGTCTCCCACTGTACAGCTTTGTCGTCATTTAACGAAGCGAGACGTCGTCCCAGGAAAACTCTCTTCGAGAACGAGTTTATTTTATATATCATTATCATGATGGGGGAGCACCGAGGCCGTACAATGCCTGGGAGAATGGGAGATAATCAGTCTCGGTTCAAGAAAACGGAGGATAATTCATTTTTTTTTGTAATCAGAACCCTTCTCTCCCATCAATAATAAGTCTGCTCCGTCCGTGGCTTAGGCAGCCAATTCAAGTGCATTAATTTATTGATAATATAAAACAGAACGCCTCAGATACTGTACGAACTAAGAAGAAATGTCCGGGTTGTTGTTTTAATAAAACAATTTTTATTTGAACATTATAAGTGTGTAAGTCTGGGAAAATATTAGTTTCTCAGGTTTAAAGTTAAATAAAAAATTTCTTTACACTGTATACCGAGGTGTGTATATAGAGTTTAAGTTAACTTTAGCCCATAATCCAGCATTCTTGATATTGGTGTACTGGTGAAGTACTGGTGAATTGCAGCCTTAATGACCCTCGTGCAGTTGATGTTTCGCACTTAGCAACACCACTGGCTCAGTTTATTCATTTGACGTGTGACTGAGGAGAGGTCAAGGTGCTAGGTAAGTGTATGTGTGTTTGGAGTAGTGGTGAATGGTAGTGGAAGGCCATAGTACAAGGTGGCTAGCTGATTATCATTGTGACGCAACAGTGCACAAGATAATGGTTGCAGCATGACTGATAAGGTCCCCCCCTTAGATGGCGTCCGCCAGTATACAACAACTACACGCCATAATCACAGCAACCACACGCCATAATATTCCCCCTCGCGAGCCTTCGTGTTCTCACCCTCTTCCACCATTATTCTGGAATAAGTTGACGTGTTGCATAGTGCTTCTGAAGACTCGAATAGTAATGCATTAAACAAACTCAGTAACTACTATATCTAATCAGCTTAGTGCCGACAGTTGTGAAAAAGACGCGGTTGCAGAATTAAGTGTTATCCTAGAAGAGAGACCGTAGATCTTAATTACTCGTATTAAGACCTCCCTCTCCATCCTGAAGAGATAACTAGTAGGTTACGACTCGACATTTATGGTGATGCTTTTAGTTTACTGAAAACTGTACAAGAGGAGTGGAGTGGCTCGTGCCTCTCACTCCACAAGGAGTGAAGGTCAAACTGGACAGTATAGACAACTACCCTGCGTCATTCTTTCGAAAATCTACGCTAGTTGGTATGTATAATGTATATATGGGTCTTTAAGGCTGCGCTTAACCTGAACACTAATGTTAAGAATAGATTAACTGATAATTATGCAGATGATGTCCTTGCATTATTGCGTTGTGCAATGAAGATTAGTTATATTTTGTTCCTATTAAGAAAACGTGTTTGTGGGGGGGGGGACGAAAAAATCAACTTATCTAGAATTTAACGCTTGCTCTAGGCTAGATAAGTTAGGTTGCATTACATTTTTTCATTTGGTTACCAAAATTTTTATTTTTTTCACTACAAGGACCACTAAGTGTTAAAGAATTACATACTAACCTATGGCTAAGCACCAGACACGAGGACTTCACCTGTTTAAGAGATTTAATCCTTCATATATAAATGGAAGACAGGAATAAATAAAGGGGATGTAAATAGTGTGCTGAAAATATCTAGCCTAGACAGGACTCGCAGCAATGGTTTTAAGTTGGAAAAATTCAGATTCAGGAAGGATATAGGAAAGTACTGGTTTGGTAATAGAGTTGTGGATGAGTGGAACAAACTCCCGAGTAAAGTTATTGAGGCCAGAACGTTGTGTAGCTTTAAAAATAGGTTGGATAAATACATGAGTAGATGTGGGTGGGTGTGAGTTAGACCTGATAGCTTGTGCTAACAGGTCGGTTGCCGTGTTCCTCCCTTAAGTCAATGTGACCTGACCTGACTAGGTTGGTTGCATTGGCTTAAGCCGGTAGGAGACTTGGACCTGCCTCGCATGGGCCAGTAGGCCTTCTGCAGTGTTCCTTCGTTCTTATGTTCTTATGTTCTTATATATGGGTTAGTGCTGTTTATACACTTGTGGTGTCATGAAAATTCTCAGGCTCTTGATCCAAGGAATATGGACTTTTTGCTCTTTTTGGATTTCCTTTTGTACCCAAGGCAATCAGGTTTGATCCAAGAAAGGGGATGTAAACAGCGTCCTAAAAAGATCTAGTCAAGACAGGACTCGCAGCAATGGTTTTAAGTTGGAAAAATTCAGATTCAGGAAGGATACAGGAAAGTACTGGTTTGGTAATAGAGTTGTGGATGAGTGGAACGAACTCCCGAGTACAGTTATAGAAGCTAAAACGTTGTGTAGTTTTAAAAATAGGTTAGATAAATACATGAGTGGGTGTGAGTTGGACCTGACTGGCTTGTCCTAAGTCTGATGCCGTGCACCTTAAGTGAATATGACGTGACCTGACCAGACTAGGCTGAATAAGTGTGATGGTAGTTTTGTGTGACCAGTACATTACCATTGACTCACCTTTGATCTATTAGCAGATGTATCTATGTGATTATATACTGGGCGTTTAATCTCTATTTTAGGTATTAAATTATTTTTGACTGGTGGTGTACAGGTTACTTGCAGTCTTAATAACCCTCGTGTAGTCTATGGCCTTTTAAGATTAATGAACTAACCGTGACCTGTTTTGAAGCTTATGTATACAGAGAGGTGTGTATATCTGATTGTATATATGCAGGGAGTTTGTCTAATCCCAGTTTTACGGATTTTAAGGTCATTGGTGGTGTGTAGGCTATTACAGCCTTAATGAGAACCGTGGAGTCGATAGGCTTTAAATCCAGTAAACCATTCTGACCTGTTTTCAGAAGTTTTTTCTGTTACGTGGCCCGGCCTGAAGCTTGGCTTCCAAGGTCACCTCGTTAAAAAAGCAGGTTAAGGTGTGTCCTTCAGTGCTGAACATGTTCTTGCCTTGACAACAAGACCATTCTTGCACCACTTGTGATCAACGTTGAAACAATACACAGAGTTGAACGTTGCATTATTTTCTAGGCTACCTTGTTGCTAGACACATCGTATCGTTTTTCAGTATTTACTCGAGTCAACTATGCGTTGTTATAGGTGATTTAACCCCGATCCAGGACGCTGAGAAACGTCTTTATAAGGATCCCCTCTAGGAATTTTGGTGAATTATATATTGATATAACCTGGCATGTCTGAAAATTAAAAAAAAATGACAGGAAGCGTTTATAAATTAACATTTAGAAATATGTAACAAACTTTTAGTAAAATGAGAACTAGCTGTTTTTTATATATATATATATATATATATATATAATTTATATATATATATATATATATATAATATATAAATTATATATATATACACACTTCCAGATTTCAAACAGGTATAACAATCAGCTTTATTGTAATAATCTTTCACAGTTAGTAGCTTCAGATGCAGGATTTCATTCAGTTTCATGTGGTATAGGGTAGCATTAAAGGCACTTATGTGCGCCCCTCTGGTTGCTCGACAAACATCGATGTGATAGTCAGTTCGGTCCAGACTCTCTGCAGCATATCTGGTGTTACGCGACTTCTTCAGTGATAGAAAATTTTCAGGTCCTCAGGGTTGCTGGTAGTGGCAGTACGTAAACTGTGCTCTTCACGTACCCCAAAGAAAGAAGTTTGCAGAGGTCACCGGACCTGTTTGTAAGTGGCCTGCGAGGTCACCGGACCTAACTGTTTGTGACTTCTTTCTTTGGGGGTACGTGAAGAGCACAGTTTATGTACCACCACTACCTGCAACCCTGGAGGACCTGAAAATTTCGATTAGTGAAGCAGTTCGCGTAACACCAGATATGCTGCAGAACGTCTGGACCGAACTGGACTATCACATCGATGTTTGCCGAGCAACCAGAGGGGCGCACGTGAGTGCCTTTAATGCTGCCCTATACCACATGAAACTGAATGAAATCCTGCATCTGAAGCTACTAACTGTGAAAGATTATTACAATGAAGTTGAATGTTATACCTGTTTGAAATCTGGAAGTGTTTTTGTGGACATCCTGTATATCGGTGAGGGGCTTGGGACTTCCAATAAGCTTGCGTGAGCGTGTAAGATAGGAGTGAATGGAGACGAATGGTTTTTGGGACCTGACGAGCTGTTGGAGTGTGAGCAGGGTAATATTTTGTTAAGGGATTCAGGGAAACCGGTTAGCCGGACTTGAGTCCTGGAAATGGGAATTACAGTGCCTGCACTTTAAAGAAGGGGTTTGGGATATTGGCAGTTTGCAAGGACTTTTAAACTGTCGTATCTGAGCCTCTGAAAAGACTGATTACGTATGAGTGATGGTGAAGTGTTGAAACTGAAATTTTTTCTTTCATTTTGGGTCACCCTGACTCGGCGGGAAACGGGACTAATTTAAAAACTTATTCTTTCGATATATTGAAGAGGGTACCTTCTAGTGATTGATTTTTTAGTCTTCCAATTTTTTCATTTATGATTAAGAACGCCTCATTCAATCACCTTCAGAATTTCAAGGCTGGTGTACTGTAGCTAGGAGAAGTTCGCATAACTAATATATACAGATACCATCTAGTCAGTGTTATAGTGACCATTCCCGATGTTTTTGCCTGTGGTAATTTAATAAAGACTTCTAATTTTACTCAACTTAGAGGGTTGGGATTGTTATTGGTATGTGCAAGTAATCTTCTGACCCGTTTTTTAAATGGTGTGGGATTTTTTCTGTAATGTGTGTAGACTCGGCCTCAACAGACGGGTTCCAGTTATTGGCTGGCGCATCTTACGAGGATATAACCTTGTAAATTAAGGCTATGCAAGCGCACAAATTTGCAAACATAAAAAATCGTAATTAGTACGTTTTTGTTCAACGAAGATTGAATTTTATGCTGTATAAGTCAGTTTTATGAAGTAAATTTTGATACTGATTCAGTAACTTGAGAGCGACTCCTTGAATTAACCTTTAACACGACTCGCTAAATCGTAATGACACGATTGTAAACAAACCATACCACGGGTGGGGTTTGAACCCGCGGTCAGAGAGTCTCAAAACTCCAGACCGTCGCGTTAGCCACTGGGCCATACCACGGGCGGGGATTGAACTCATAGCGAGTGAGTCGTAAAACTCCATTAAGATTTCGTGAGTCAAGTTCGTCCAGGTTAATCGTGGGTTGTGGAAGGGCTAATTTACCATTACTACCATTTTTAATATGGAATTATTTAATTTGTTGTTAACTGGATAATGCCTCTTCCGGTTGGCTTCAAACTTTCAGTGTTTGCGTATCTTAGAGGAAAGTTTAATTTCTAATGAACCTCGTAATTTTGAATTTGTTAATTTATTTTATTAATACAATTTTTGGAGTATCATAATCCGCACTGCCAAAAAATTCCTCTATCGAGCTGAACGATATTAAGTACGTCTTTAAAACATTACATATCTGCATGTAAGTTTTTACGGAATTACCTTCAGCTCTTCAAGAAATAAATTTTGATTTATCTAAAACCTACAATAAATATTAAGCTAAATTTAATAAACTATTTTTTGCAACGCCATGGTCACTGTTCTTTCATTTGAGATTATCTTGTGTGGGTTTCATATATTGGTTGTCTTTATATTTAATATATTGGTTGTCTTAATATTTACAGGACATACTCTTCCCTCCCCCCATCCTTCCCCACGGCCTTTGTTTAATATCTTATTATGCACCCATTACCCATCCTGTGGGTGGTAGTTAAGAGATTACAGAGGTACATAATGGGGGACTGGACCCCAGAGTTTTAATTATTTTACAAGTTACATTGGTAATGATCTATTTACATGTTTATATCTGGTTCCTACCCTAATGAGTTATTTATGCTGACATTAATTAGGTCCTGCTTTCTCTTGTGTCAGCATAGAAGCTTGGAGGTTCTACTTGCTCTAGTGTCAGCCTAGAAGTTTGGGGGTTCTACTTGCTCTAGTTTCAGGTTCCTACTTGCTCTAGTGCCAGTCTAGAAGCTTGGGGGTTCCTACTTGCTCTTGTGTCAACCTAGAAGCTTGGCGGTTCCTACTTGCTTTTGTGTCAGCCTAGAAGCTTGGAGGTTCCTACTTGCTCTTGTGTCAGCCTAGAAGCTTGGAGGTTCCTACTTGCTCATGTGTCAGCATAGAAGCTTGGAGGTTCCTACTTGCTCTTTTGTCAGCCTAGAAGCTTGGAGGTTCCTACTTGCTCATGTGTCAGCATAGAAG